CAAAACAGTTTTACCTTATGCTTAGCTTCCCCAAGCTCTAACATCTTATTTCCAAAAGAAAAGAAAAGAAAAGAAAAGAAAAGAAAAGAAAAGAAAAGAAAAGAAAAGAAAAGAAAAGAAAAGAAAAGAAAAGAAAAGAAAAGAAAAGAGAGATACAATCAGTAAAACAGTTTGGAGAAAATAGGGTGAGGATGGAAAAGTTCAAAATGTGAGATCATGCCTAAAGGCTTAAAGAGTGGCTGTATTTTTAAGATGTGCTTAGAACATCTTCAATATATTTTCTCACTACTGAGGCACCACGATCAGAAAAACCTATACTTGGCAAAATTACCTTTGAAGGATTTGAAACCTACCAGATTTAGATGGAAATAGATACCCTTCATCCTTTTTGTCATTACCCTGTGTATACCTGACATATATAACTAAACAGCTGGATTTTTCTTGACACTATACATCCATGCTGGAAGAGGCTGGCTTTCTGAATATCAGGCTGTTGTGAAATGCACAACTATGAGTCAACCTGCAAAGCTGGCAATGTCAAGTAAAATAATGTTGCGATCTACAACAAATATCTGGGAAATTCTCGGTTCAGAGTTAAAATGAATCCAGTCGGAAAACAGGAAAATAAAGGGTTGTTTTTTCTTTTACATGGGTGGGGTCCAGTGTAGAAACTGGGCACCAAAGGCAAGCTCTACAATATTACCATTACAAAAAACAATAATTGCATAGCTAACGCATTACAGCATATTCCAGAAATAAGCTGGCATTTATTTAGCACACAGAGGGAATTTATTACTGTACAGAGTACTCTAGAAGATATTACTCAATTAACCCCTGGCTGCTTTGCTACTGCTTCAAAAGCCATACTCTTGAAAATTGCAAGGAAAAGATCAGTTGTTCTAAAAAACATTTGCAAACAGGCCTGAAAACTAGCCATAGTCTGTGCTTGAATAGGTAAGTACATTCATATGCAAAACTTAGCTTCCAGTATCTATATGCAAAAGTGAATGTTACCATACCTTGAAAAGGTGAGTAGAAGAGGGAATATTGATAGGACTTCCTGTTCTCTTTGCCTTTGTCTTGTTGCACTGTTTCTGTTTCATAGGCTTACCCATCCATGATATTACCAGCTTTGTGCTATTGTTAATTCTGTTCCTATTAACACTTTGGAGATAAAGCAAGGATGAAGAGTTAGCAGCTAATTCCCAGTTCTCTATTGCGTGAAAATCTGAAAGAGCTCAGATCAGTGAACTTAATAAAGAACTTCTGTATTACAAAATGAATATTGAATTGCTCCATATTGATCTCTCCACATAAGAAGAGCTATTTTTAATTATATGAACAATAATGCTTTCCCATTGAAATTGTTGCGTGCACCTTCATTAATGTGCAATTGCCCCATATGAGTTACAAACACAGAAGTGGAATTTTAGGCCTTTTCCCGACTTCAGCAGATGTACTGCATTAAACTAATCGCAGGGCTAACCTGATCTATGTTATTTACTTTCCCATCAAAAACTGGCAGTAGCAACATTTGGGGAAAGGGGGGGGTACAAAAAAAAGGAAGTTTGGGAGCAGCATGCAAGCTGTAGGTTGCTTGTGCGTGTTTGAAAGACAAACATGTTTGCAGACAGAAGATTCTCATTGCTTTGGGATCCATGGTTCATGTGAATATTGCGTCCTTTTATAACCTTTGCCTGATATACCATGGATGGAGATGGCTTAGCCACAATTGTTCATGCCTTATTACAATGCCTTGCACATATAGGTGCCATTTAAGCAATTCAGAATACGTCTACACATTCAGGGGCCATGGGTGGGATGGGCAATCAAAAAGTCAAGACGGTGGCCACATCCTTGCAATCGAGGCCACCATCATTTGCTTCTTCAGCCACTTTCTGCAGACATCCCTTCATATTATTAACTAGAACTGGCTGCCATTTAATCACATTAGCTGCATAGACTCCTCCCAATTTCTAGAGTGCATTTAAAGAGCTGGTGTTTATCTTAAAGCCCTAAATATTTCACTCTGAGGTTACCTTTTCTTAACTACTTTTCCCCATGTGTTTCTACCCAAATCTTACTTGGCTGCCCCACCAAGTGAGATGAGGGAGATGGCTAGAAGATAAGAACCATTTTGTTTTTTTTTCCCTTCATATTTATATCCTGACCCAATTTTGATGGTCTCTGGGTGGATAACATTAGTACAAAATGTGGAACACCCATTGCCCCGAATGTGTAGACATATTCTGAAAAAATAAACAAACACATGACAGGGTACCAAAAAACAACTAACATCCAAAAGCATACTCAAACATTTTGATTATGACACCCTCTTATGGATGAACCTCCCAAGAGAGATATTCTTGATCCCATATTTATAGACTTCAGGGTTTTTCCCCCCTATTATTCTGATCATTGATCAAATAAATCTTTGTCTATCTGTTCACGTAGGCTGACTTAAAACAATGGTTTTTCTTTTGTAGCCTGGGCTTCTCAGGACTTTTTAGTTAGGCTTTGGTTTTAATCATTTAAATCTATTTGTTTATGAGTACACAGAGAACTTCTATTATGAGCCACGTTTGAACTGTTTTGAACCAAAAGCGCTTCATTTTGAAGTGTTCTGCCTTCAGAATGAGAGAGCCATTGATAAGATATTGGATTAGGAGTGGGAAGACCCAGGTCTTATTCCCCGATCAGCCCCAGAAGCTCACTAGGTCATTCTGGGGCAGTCATTCTCTCTCAACCCAACCAACCTCACAGAGTTGTTGCTGTGGGTAAAAATAGGAGAGAGCACAGTGGACACCACCTTAAGCTCCTTTACAAAAGGCGGGCTATGAATCTAACAAAGGAAATTGAGTACTATGGAAGTGTTGTGAGTTTGTGCATGTGAAACAACCATTTCAAATTAGAAACAAGGTATTTCAACTTTGAAATCCTTTGATTTTTAAAACATTTTCTACATCCCTATGGATAGCTACTGCTTTACAGTAATAAAGATTCAGAAAAAAAATTAAAATCCATCATGTTGCTGCAATATACATCTCATTAAACAAATAAACTTACTACAAAGTATGAAGCATAGAGGAGATAGGGGAATTCAGCCTGCTACTTTCAAATCTTTTATTAAGCACTATATGCGGCTAGTGAGACTGAGAAACTGTAAATTTTTTCTCCTCCACTGGCTGGGGAATTCACACCTCTTCAAGTTGCTGAGGTTGAGAAACACTGATTTAGATTCTTACAATGGCTGCTCTATTTATAAGCTGACTGGACAAAGTTGGTTCATTTCCTCTTAATATACCTGCTGTTCATTTGAAGCTAGGATTCCTTGGAGGTTTGTTAGACAAGTCCTTTTGTTTGTTAGTCATTATCCCTTATGGCAATGAGACTGAATTTTTAATATTTATTAGACATCTATATACAAATTGGAGTCATTATTTTTTACTAGAGCGGGGAAAGGCAGGAATCCAACAATACACAGACCTTCTTTGAAAATACAGAAAAAAATTCTAGTTATTTGAAAAAATTGAGTGGAAGTGTGATATGTGGTACTGCTTCTTCCTAGAAGAAGCCAAAAACAAAAAAAACTTCCATCTTGTTTGTCAGTACCGAGTCCAAGTCATCTGTATTTTTATATTACAGCACTTATATAGCTAGAAGCCTGGATAAGAGCACTGCACTGAAGGATTTTGTGGCAGGTTCCCATTGTATAATTTATTTCTCACTAACATCTGAGTTCTCAAGGCCTGGACCATAGGTAGGCACTGCAGTATTCTTAGCATCCAGCAATCACTTTGATTTTCTGACCTGATTTAATTAAAAAAAAATTAAAAACATGAATTGGACATGCAGTGAAGCCTTACTCTTGCATTGCCTTTTATTTACAAGAATGCTTCAAAGGTAAAAATGGCAGTTGAGTGCAGTCAAGTCCTTTGTTTGCATATATGCCCACTGCCCAACTGTAAGTGATAGGAAGCATCAGGGAGGGATAGATGGAATAGCAGGGAATGCTGTTTTTAGTTTGTCTTTTGGTAAATGGGTCTAGTGACTGGATGTGCACCTTGTGACAGTCATTTTACAAATAGGCAACCCAATTGTTACAGCTGTTTTATGAAAGAACCACACGCTCTTAAAATGCTAAATATGTTCTCCAGTCTAAGAACACTCCCTACTCCTGCCCTAGATTATGTATATTTAATTTTAAAAGTTGTTTTTCTATTAATCATACTTTTTTTAAAGAAATGAGAAGGTAAATAATACAGTAGGAGCTAACTTTGGGGGACTGAAGGTATGCCACATTGGGAGTGATCTCTGTTGCAGATCCTCTTGGCAGCTCAAGGCTTCGTGGAATGTTGTTACCTGTAGGCTCTTGCTGTTCCTCTTCAATGCGATAGAATGGCGGCTGGTGCTACTGGGACTCTGAAGCCTTAGCAACTATCTAAGAATGTTTTTGCTTGTTACGTATAGATAACAAGTCATACCTCTCCAGGGCCTTTCCCTGCTGCCGACTGAGCTGAAGTGCTCTCCAATTGAGAGAGCAACTTGAGTAACCAGAAAACTAGATCAGCATGAACTTGGCTGTTCCCATTGCCCATCCTATCCTGCCTCTGCTGCCAGTCATCTGACTTACATCCAAAGTAATGGCTGATAGCCTAAGAGATTTTATACATCTTAAAGATGCCCATGGACTCTCTTGGAATACATGGAAAAATGCTACTCTTAATAGCAATACATTTCAGGATGACTTAACTCACTCACCTGTCTCAGTCATAAGCTAGGCCTGAGAAGAAGGCAATATCATGAAAACACAGTAGAAAAAATGATGTTGCCAAGACATGTTTGTACAATGGCTAGGTGCAAGTGAGAAAAGGCTTACTTACTCTTTAGTTGTTATATTTGCTACTGACCACTAGAAGGCACTATATGACCACTTTAGTCCTTGTTTTGGGACTTGTCAGGGATAAGTAGCTTCTCTTTAATGAACCTTACCTTGATTTATCAATTTATCAGAGTTATTTCAGTATTTCAGCACTCTGATTTTTTGCAGGAGTTCTTCTTTGCTCTAACTTCCTACTTCCACTGCACTCATTTCAATATTCTTGAATATTATTCTTGGCTTGAACAGATTGCAGTAATCAAATCTGCGGAGGAAAGGAGAGATGAAGCATAAACAATGTGATGAGCTATTTTCATCCAGCAATCTTTCATGCAGATCTTCCCCAACAGTCTACACAAGATCTTCTGGGGTACCATCTCACCCTGGGGAGTTGGGGGGAAGAATAAGAGCCCCTTCACACATGGCATTTATGCCTGTCCTCACTCAGCGCTGTGTTTTGTGTTCCCACAACTAAAGTGCTCTTCAGCAGCAGTTCTGTAGCTAAACCAGTTAGCATCTGATCCAGCTGTAGCACAGGAGGAACTGTTGCAAAGATAGCTTGGCAACGTTAATGCTGGAACTGTGAAGCAGGCAATTTCCCATTAACAACCACTCTTCCCTTGTCTCACTACCTAGCTCCTTGGCTCTGCTCCCTCCCTGCTAAAATCATGGCACAATGGCATCTCAACATCATTTCAATATGTTTTTTAAACTGAGTGACTAATATCAGTTTTTCCCCTTGCTTTGAAAACTGATGCAGTGAAGCAACTACAAGGAAGGGGAGGGGGCCATTGGAGGGAATCTCTTTCACTTCCCTGTTAGTTGGTTGGAGAAATAGCTGGTAGGCTCAGGAGAAGTATTGAGTGTGGCAAGGAGGGTCAGACAAATAAGGACATTCGTGGGCTGGTGCAAAAATGTTTCTGAGGTTTGGGGTGTTTCTGGTGAAAGCACTCCCAAGAGTAATCTTGGTCCCATGTACAGAAAACAAAAAGAGAAACAACGAAGGAAAGGAAAGGAGCAGGCCAGTTCAGGCAGGAAAAAGATTAAATGCAAACCTGAATATAGTCTGCCCCATAATAGGTGTTTTACCAAGCATTTGGTCAGCTAAAACTAACCAGTATTGTGGTGGTCTTTTCCCTCCTTTTCCCCATTCTCTTTCCTTGTTTCTTTCTGAATGTAAGCTTAAGGACAGGTACTAATGTTTTATATTTTTAATTCACTTTTAAGATAAGGAGCAAGGTAAAATGTTTTTAATTAATTTTACCAATAGTCATTAAAAGGAGTACTTTGTGTTCTTTAGAAAATTGCAGTTCAAACTACCATAATGCCTCTCTATCTTTTATCTTCCATTGTCTGAGTAAAATACTAAAAGCAATGTTGAAAATAAAGCCATTCTTACAGTGATTTTAATGAAAGCTAACAGCACATCCAGCGCTCTTGGGATTTTATCTAAATGCAAAGGAGAATCTAATTCTGAATTATTCTATCTAAAAATGATTATCTATTCCCTTCATTTGACTTAAGTACAGTGATGGCCATAGATACATGTTAATACATGACTATACTTGGACTTTCACCCAGAAATGTAGTGCAAAACATATTGCACTGTGAAATAACTACGATCAGTATTCCAACAGTTGCCTACAATTGTTTAGAGTAAGCTGTGGGGAGTGACAAGAAAGCCCCTGAGGCTACTGATGTCACAATGAAGTAATGAAGGATGTGGTGTATGTGGTACCACCAACAATAAAACTGTAAATCTTAAAAAAGAATGTTATTGGTGGCGGGGGGACATGTGCCCTCCAGATATTGCCTGAACAACTCCCAGCAGCCCAGCCAGCATTACTGATGATGAAGGATCCTGGGAGTCGCAGTTGAACAACATCAAGAGGGCAATAGGTTTCTTACCTCAATATGTAATTAATTAACCAATTAATTAATTAATTAATTAATTAATTAAAGATTTATAAGGTTGCTCAACTCAATGTGACTCTGGATGGCATGCAACATAGTTTCAACTGAGAAACTGTCAGCAAGCTAAATCCAAAAATGCAAGGGAATTCTTGGAAGCTTGGTATTCAGACAAGTCAGCCATCAACAGGCACATAGAGATAAACAACATTTACCACTATTCAAAAGATACAATAAAAAGGAAACAAAAAGACCAGAACACCTCCTGAGTTTTCTTCAATCCTTGGCGAAAGAAGTTTTAAGTACGAGTTTAAGGACTTGGAAAGTGTTGGCCAACGACCTGGGTTGCTCAGCCCAGGATAACCCAGTCCCTTCTTGATCAGACAATTTTATTTATTCAGAAAACGTATATGGCTGCCCATCTTATATACCTTAATTTTGGGTGGCTCACGGCAACATGTAAAAAATAAATAAATGAAAAATGAAAAACCAGCATCCAAAAAGAAATGGTGCCCAGCACCCCTAACCAACACTCCCCAAGAACAACAACAATCACTGGGCTCCCAATGCTTGGGGGAAGAATCATCTTTTTAAGGCCTTCCAGAAGGCAAGGAGGATTGGGGGCCTGCTGGATCTCAGGGGGAGGGTGTTCCACAGGACAGGGGCCACTACTGAGAAGGCACGCTTCCTAGGTCCTGCTAGATGACATCCTTTAAGGACCTGAAGATTACTGAGTTGCCCCTTGGCGAGCAAAGGACAGCTGCCCAGCATATTTACAGTAATAATTTCAGAGTAATGAGGGGAAATGTTTGAATACAGTGTTTGTTTTTCTCTTGCTGGGTTAATTCTCTGCCATAGAGATAATACATTGTCTGTATATATTGCTTCTGAAATAGCTACGTTGCCACTTTTCATTGGCATTATAATTGGAGACCTATTTAAACAGATATGGCATTTTCTGTCATATAAACAGAAGATGGATACAATATACAGAGTTGTTTGAAACGTTTCCAACCCCCTTAAGGCACATGTTACCCATGTACAAGTGTCCATATACAAGATCAGGGAAAAAAAAGAAAAGAAATGTTGCTCTGTCTCTTTCTCTCTTCTCCCTTTTTTTAAAGTACTATATATATGTAATTAGATATCTCCTCACCATTTGAAACTGAATGTGAATTCTTTCTCAGCAGAAAAATATTATTTCGTCAGAGATTATGAGAACTACAGAGTCATCCCTTTGCAAATGTACATCATTGGGAGGTGATGATGGATACCCAGGACTCTCCTGTTTCCTTTACTGTACGAGGGAAGGGAGGGGGAGAACTCTCAAAGGGAGACTGGATGGTTGTCAGAGGTTGTTTTAACCTTCCCACCAAGCTTGCCCACCAAGGGCCTTTTCCCACTTGGATCTCATCACAGGATCAACATGTCCTGGGAACATCTTTTTTTGGCTATGTTCCTGGGATGTTGTCTTCAGTTTGTCCCCAGCCCATAAGTGAGACAAGCTTAAGTTGTCCTTAGCTGTAAATCAGAGTTTTTGCCCCTGTTCCAACATTGACAAAGCTAGCCCCAAGGTATGTACACTCTGTTATCACCCGCTACCATGAAATCAAGTGACTGCATTAATTTAAAATAGAGGCAGGAGAGGGATTGGCAGTGGGAACAGCAAATTTCATCCCAGTACAGTCTTCTGCCAGTTCAAGGATGAATGGACAGCACTTCAGCTCAGCAGCAAGGAAATGCCCCAAGTCTCCTCTGTGAATACTCCCCACTTCATTTAAATTATCCCCCATAGTCGCTCTTCTGTGTAACAGCACTAATACAAATACAAATATAATACAAAATACTTTAATGACCAAATATAAAATATATACAAGGAATGTGTCTTCGGTGATGAATAGCAAGATCAAT